AAGATGGAGCTTTGACAGCTGACATGCTGAGTTCTTGTGTAATGATCGTGCATTGCTTAAATTTTTGGATGTTGCATTATATTTGATTGGCTGAATATGACTACGCCGCCGATTGTTAAAAAAAGGCATCAGCTTTTTACATATTGCAAGAGACGTCCATTGATTTTAAGACGTAACATCACAGCAATGTTTGCTGAATTAAAGACAAAAAATATTATTGTCTGTGCTATTGCCACATAATGCTCCGGAGTTGAATCGTTAATTTGCAGTCGTTCTTCATCTGTATATTTTGTAGCGCATTTTTAAAATATGTAATACTTTTTCTCGAGAAAATAAATGTTGAAAGACTGTCAAAATGTTAATTACTTTAAGCAGTAGAGCTCTAATAACAAAAGACTGAAGAATTTAAAGTATTGTACATTTGCTTTCATTTCACGTTTGTCAAAAAAATTACTGAGCTATAATATGACTACATGTCCTGGGTTGTTGCAATAATAAAATATCAAAAGGAATCTAGCATTCTTTTAAATTCAATCGCGAAGTTATTTTATTCCAGAAGTTGAGTTAACTTACAATATTTATAGCATTCCAACTATTCAGGTTCAACTTTAGTCGGTCGATTAGATGTTTTTACGTTACTTTGTGGAGCATGTCGGCGAGAGTAAAGTAAAAAGTGTTTGGCATATTCCTAAAAGACTTGTTAAAAACAGGTTATTTGACTAGTCGATCAGTGCTCCAGTAACTCGGCAGTGAATGCGCGTATATCACGTGGCAATTAATCCATTCCTATTTCATTTTCGTACATTCAATATTTCACATTTTCTGTTGCCGAGAGACTACTACTACTTCCATGTAAAATGTCAGTTGACATTTTCGATGCAGATTTATCAGTTAGTCCTACGCCAGCCAGCACCGTATTACCAGCACGTTTGGCCGTCAAAACTCTTCCTCCAGACATTCTAATACGCATTCTTAAATATCTTCCAATATGCTCGCTCATAAACTTTGCGCAAGCGTGTCGAAGATTCAAAGTTCTTGTATATGACGATGAACTTTGGGAAAGTCATTTGAAAATACTCGGAGAGTGGGAAGATCCAATTCCGGAACTTGAAATAGCAACGGAGACAGAAATAGAACCAGATGTAGAGGAAAATGTAGAGAAAAACGTAGATAATAACAAGCTCACATATGAAAATGCGAGAGACACTATAAAAGGATTAGTCAATGCTGTACTAGATGCGGCACCTTTAAGGAGCACATTAGTTCCATCAATAAGCACGTTAGCTCCATCAATAAAGCCCGCAACACATGACTCTTCTGTGGTTTTATATACTTCTGGGAATCTGCTAGATTTCGCTTCTCATGACGAGAATTCACAAAGAACATTGAGTTTGATACCTGGACTTTCACCCGATCCGTTTTCACAAAAGTCTCGTGCCGCGTCGACTGGCTTTGCACGTACTCGATTCAAGGAGATATACATGGACTTGATACCGTATTATTTAGATTTTAGATATAGACGAACTGACAGTAAAGTATTTAAAGAATTTCCTGATCAATTCGAGCAGGCTGGGATGCTGTCGAAATTGGCTACTTTTGGAAAGTTGAATATCGTACATGACTCTGATCAGGTACGGTGAATATGCTGGACGTGTTAATATGATGCCACACTTTCTTGTTTCCTTATTATTTTTATTTGTCTCCGTTTAGATAAATAATGCCATCGAGACTACGATGGAATACATGGAAAATTCGGCATTGCACGATTTTGAATTGGCATACGATGCTCTAAATGTGCCCGGGCTACGGGTAACGTGTTTTTCTTCTTTTTAATTGAAAGAAAATGATCATCTAATTTCAATTTCACGGCCTAATGTATATCTGCTTTCTGATGCCGACTAGAAATGCGCAAGTTTATTAACGGAATTGAACGGGGGTAACTCTTGCGTACAATCATTTATACAAAAGAATTCGATATTTTTCGATCGTCTTCATGATCCAATGGAAAATTTCAAGTGAGTCCAATAGTGCCTTGTTTCAACATTAATCAACTAAAATTCTTTGCATTTACATTGTGTCTTTTACTTTGACAAAGCGTATCTACTGGTGAGCATGATTACGCGCCAATGAAAGAGTTTTTCAAATACGTGGAAGAAGAACTTGTCAAGCAAGCAATACTTATCGGACAAGTATTCCCCAAGGAAGTACCAGTCTTTCATACGTTTTGTGAGCGGGTTATTGAAGATGTCGTAAGTCTATTTTTTTATCTACACCATCCTACTCGCCTGCAATATCACAGGGAATAATTAACACGTTAATCTTCAAGGTTACAGATTACGTGACGACCGTGCTGGAAGAGATACATAAATTGGGTACAATACCATACTTGAAAACAGTCATCATAATATTCCAACTGTATCAACATGTCGCTGAGGTGTTATGGAAGGAAGCCTCTCCGGGACTCGGTCAAATAATTGCAGAGGATTTGTTGTATCAAAGGTTTGAACCAATTGCAGAAATATACATGGCGGAAGAATTAGCCCTGGTAAAATTCAAGAGTGAAGAAGAGGTTGAAAAGTGGAACAAGAAGGTAGAGAACTGTTAGTAGCCTTTGGTGCAAGTTATTCTTTTGATCCAGTAGGGTTACAGAATTGTGTGTTTTACATATCATTAAATCTGAACCATTTGTAATTCTCAGCTGCTGGATGAGTCCGCTGAAGCGAGACAAGCGCTGTTAAATAATGCTAATAGAGAAGTGTATAGGCGCACTTATCTCTCATCTTTTCGCAAAATGCTAAAACGTTCATCCAATCGCAATCGCAATTCAGCGACAACATCTCCATCTCAGCCATCCTCTCCAGTTGACAGACGAGCTAGTTTAATTGGTAATTCACCAGATGGGATTATGAATATAACTGATCTACAGATGATGATGATCGACTCTAAATTACATAAACTGCAACAGCTGCTAAGTCTTGAAACGGCTTTACAAATGATACATCTTAATAAGGAATCTCTGAGGAGGGTTGGTTGCTTGGTTGGATATCCTGACAAGATGGGTGAAAAGGTGTAAGTAGAGAAAAATTGAGTATTTATAACAAATGCGTTAATCCTATATCATATTAATATATATATTATGACATGATAGACAAGAAACACTGGAATCTATCTTTATAACGCTTTTGGATACTTTAGGAACATTGCATATTAAGCCTGGTTTTGATATGTGAGTAACTAACGGGTTTGGTAGGAGTTCAATATTACTGATTGTCATGTCAACATACAGCGGCATGGCAATTAAAATCTCATTCTCTGGATTATTACATCTATAACTGTATAGTGCACTCCGACACATTGGGGAACATAAACCTGATGCAGAATCAACAAACACGGGTCTTGCGCCACTGGTGGAGTTCTTCGAACTCGTTCATATTGTTGACTTGATACAGCAGATGATACAAGTATACTATGACGACGAGATGGTGTGTAATGTCAAAATGGCTATGGTAGCAGTGACACGTGTGTGTGCGCGCGCAAGCTAGAATACGTGAAAATAACTAACGATGTATGCTGCATTCGTATTTATCTAGTGTCGATTCGTCGATAAACACGATTTTCTAAGTAGATGCAACAAGGAGAAAAAGAGGTTTGAACAAATTCTTGATGAGAGCGTTGCTGCTGGTTTAAACAAAGGCATACAAGTAAGTGTTATTACGGCAACAATAATTAGTCAATTTATCTATTTATTAATTTTGTTATAAATATTATATTACAGGCATTAATGGACCAAGTCGAATTCATTTTGATGACGGAACAACAACCTGAAGATTTTCGACCAGCCAATAATACACCATTGGAATTAAAGCCGTCCAAGGTGAACTTTAGATTTTTTATAGATGACATTCAGTATATTGCCGTGTATTAATAATTGTGCGATCCATCAGGCTTGCGTACATACTGTTCAATGTCTGGAATCGCATACCAAGCTAGTCGAAGGATGTGCAGATCAGCACACGTTAGATGTATTTTATCAGGAAATAGGGCTGAGATTCTTCAGGTGAGCAACAGACTTGGGAACCGCCTGTAGACACGCCGATATTTTTAACTGTATTAATTTTGATCATAGTGTTTTACTCAAGCATCTGAAGAAATTTGTTGTCAGCATCGATGGAGGGTTCCAAGTGATAAGGTATATATTACGAGCTTGTTGGTCAATCATATTTTACGTGCGTGTCCCACTATTGTATAATTCTCTCAACCTGAACTTTTCCTTTTCACATATTCAAGTGATTTAAATCATTACACGTCCTTCATAACGACTCTTCAACAATCTTCGATAACTCCCTTCTTCATAGCGCTCAAAGAAATGGGCAACGCATATATTATTTCGACAGCGACAGATGTTGGAATCTTTATTCGTGAGGCAGAGCGATTCAAGGGAATCCTGAGGGCTGAGGATGTGTATGAGTTTGTGCAGATGAGAGAGGATTGGGCAGAGATTAAGAAAGAAGTCGAGAAACAGTTGTTTGGGTTGAAGGCTGAAGACTGTGTTGTCATGTAATTGGTTTTAATCGAGATATACTGATACAGGCAGTTGCCGGGGATGCTTATGCTGTTATTGGATGTAATTTTTGTATTCTGTCACTGTAATTTATAAATGAACTATTATGACCGTTTGGCCGTTTGTCAAAATGGCATTTATAGAAGAAGTAAAAATAAAATAAAAAAATATATTTAATACCACTTTTGCACGCAACTCTGTTTCATCGTTATTAAGCTTAAATATTATTATTTATTTACTTGTGAGAATATTACAAATACATAAAAATGTGTTCAACTGTTCAATGAATGATATTTCAGAGTGATAGAATTTAAAAGTGTTGTCAATGAGTTATTAATTAAATTTTAAACTCCAACTTTGCTCCGCCATTAACCGTGCCCAGTCTGATGTTGCCTTTTCTCAAGTCATCTCCCTTGACACCGATCTTTGTGCTGCGTGTATTCGTTTCCAACTTCACATCAAGCAATTCATTAACAGATGTAGGACCCCACATTGTTTCCAGCTGGAATCGGCCTTTATAAACTCTTGGCTATTTTTAACAAAAGAATAGAGCACTCTTAGTGATTGATCGATCGATACAAATAATCAATAAATACGGTAATTTTTGGTTAAAGACTATCGAACCCAAAACTCCGCGTAATTGTATTGGCACGGAAAAATGCGCTACCATTCGATGACTCACCAGAATCAACCCGACCGATCCATTTGTAGACCCTATATCAACATCAATATTTTCTTCATTCTTTATATGTCCCTGAATCGATATTGAGCCGTTTGTAGTCTTGGCCTCGAATTTCTTGGCCAAACGATAGAAACCCTTTATGTGACCGTTTGTCGTAGAAAGCTCCGTTAATAAAGGTTGCATTGCTGGTGAAACGGTCGATTCAATGCTGCCGTTGGAAGTTGCGGCTATGAATTCTGTAGTCGGCTGATATGATCCGGCGATGGGTCCATTTGTAGCATTGATATGTGTCTTTGACGATTTCAGTAACTATAGACATTACGAAAAAATGTGCGTATATGAGAATGACTGTTGTGAAGTGATTGTGCTGTACCGGGACTAACGACAAGGGTGATAACAGTAATAGCAACAGCAGCAACAACAGCAGCAACAACGCAGTGCGAATATCAGCAAAGTGCCAGCATGATATTTACCTTGGCATCAATGGTTCCGTTTGTATTGGTAATGTCAACTTTATCAATAAATAAATTATTCATTTCCCCGATTTCAATTGTCGCATCTATAACTTCCAGCTTAAGACTGGAAAGATCGGTCAGCTTCTTTGGGAACGCTATTTCTGTATCATATCGAGCACGTGTAAATTGACGAGGACCCTTGTCCGTATAAAAACGTTCAGTTGGTTTCCTAGTTTTTGTCACCGACAAGCTCGAACAAACTTAAAAGCTTTCACATCATGTATGCTTTTTTTACCTCTATCGTCACGGTCAAGCCGTTTTCCGAGAATACAGGTGTAATAGACACCTTGCTCACCATCGATTCATCAGTTAGGAATATTTTTGATACAATCGTTGCATGTTCTAACTCGTATCTGCCATGTACTATTTTGACTGTTCCATGCTGTATTATGATCGGGCAGGGGATTTCATTACGTTCGAATACGATAGTGAATAGTCAATGATATAAGCAGTGACGATATTGATAAGGTTTGATTACCATTTGTCCCTTCACGATGAACGTAATGTTGTCATGTTTCATCGGGTTGAATTCGAGTTTATCATGTGGAATTGTAAAAAACGACAAGTCGCCGAGTCCGACTGACTTTACGATATTCTTGATTTCATGAATGAATGTCATTGTGGATACAAGGAATGTCAAGGCGCCCCAGTCGCTGTTATCTTTGTTATCACTATGAGCTGATCTTTCTGCATATGGAGCATAATAACGCCACAAACAATCTCAGGGGGGGTTATGCCGGAAACTTTTCTTCCCTATTTTACTAATGTTAAGATGTCTCGCGTCAAATTCGTACGTTCTTTTTCCTCTTTTCGAGACCGCATCGTCTTGTACAAGCTAGCGTGCTATTCGCTATTATTCTTATCAATTGATGTGTGTAATTCTTATCTCCGTGCTATTGAGTTTTCGTCAATGACCGTTGAACCTTATTACCATTTCCTTTTACAGAATCGACGTTTCTGATTTTAACTTCCTAAAGAATAATTACTCATTGTGCACTTGATTGGGTTGTACTCAAAGTTTAATTTTTGCACATGTGTGACAACGTGCACAGCAGCGGTATTACTTCCATCGTGAACAAAAAACGCGACTTTGCCTGTATACAAAATTCTTGTGAATTTTTGCGCTATACCTCCTTTCTGTATTCTGGGATAGGGGCTAATTGATTATCGTCAATAAACTTTCACCCGACTTTATTTTGAGAAAAAATTACTGAGATTTTTTTAATTTATTTTTGGCTATTACGACACATAATCATCTTGATCAGGAGCGTGAGTTATTTTTAACAATACCGATACGTAACATTAATTTTGCGTAACGCTTTTTACACGTTACAAGTGAAACTGGATTATAAAGAATGGTTAACAGGATATGCAGCATTAGATCATCCATTGCCAGAGATACGTCATTCCTTTGGAACATTGCAAATTTTATTTCCAAAGGTGTATTACAAATATTTCCAAAGAAATTACAGAACAAGATTCAAGAATGCTGAACAAGATTCTGGTGGAAGCTTTCTAACCGCATGAGTAAGTTATCGATAAAAAGCCATACCAGAAGGAATACGGGCGCGGTTATTGAGTCATCGAAACATGGATGCTCAAATTGGCATATAATCCCTGGAGATAAGAAGAAAGCATGGGAGAAAAGAAGAAAGCCAAGATTACCCATGCTGTCATAGGTTCAAAATCTAATTCTGATTCCATTAATATTAATTCATCTGACAGCAGTTCCGCTTCTTCATCTGCTTCTAACTCTGATTCTGATAATTCTTCATCTGAAATCGATTCAGATGAATGTCCATATTACTAAATCAAGTAAAACGGGAAGGATAAGACGTCTCTTGGAAAGAAAACCAAAGCCGTAAAACAAAAAATTTTGAAGTTTTTATTCAGAAAACGCCCTTACCAGGTCGAGCAGACTCTCTGACGATGGTATTAGAAAGAGAGGTTTACTCCTGCATCTAGTAGAGAAACTAAAATCTGAGCATGTTGCTGAATACTGAAACCTACTTAATATAGCTTCCACTCAGAAACCAAGTCTTTACTAGTTATAGGGGACTAACGCCAGAATTACGTGAATCAAATGATGATGAAACATTGGAATAGATTTTGTGCGGAAAAAAGAAACATTGCAACTATAAAATGCAAAATTAACCGCTTACAGATTCCAGCGGCCATTCTCAATAGTGGAGCTGAATGTTCTCGATTAAGTTTAAAAATTAATACAGTTGAAAAGCATACCCTTAGTGGGACCGCTACTGTATCAACTGAATCTATCGCTGAACTTGTATACAGTCAAACCTCGTTATACCGAAGTGTCGGGGGAGGCATCCACGATTCGGTATAACGAGACATTCGGTATAGTG